TGCCTGGTGGCACCTCCCTGCTCCTGCCAAGGACAAGCAGGACACACCACAGCTCCACATTCACAACTCTCCTCCCCAAAATGAAGGATCCATAATGCAAACCTAAGGCTGGACAGAAGAAGAAGGAATGGCTGAATGTGTTTAGAATGTGTCACCAGAGAATGGTCACCCTAAAGTAATTATTTTAATTTACGATGTTTAGGTGAAGTTCAAGTGGTAATGAAACCTGGGGGTTCCTGCTGGTGTTTGATGGTGTTCCCAGTCCCTCCTGCAGGGGGTGTGGAATTACACCCTCCCATGTGTGCCCAGCCTCTCCTAGAGGGTCATCACCCAGTCCGTGGTCCCACCCTGTAACCACAAACTCAGCCAAGTCACCAAAGCTTTGGTTTCACAGCAGCCAGCACTTTTTCCCCTTCACTTACTGTGAAAGAACATGGCAGCCCCAATTTGATCAAACCCTGATAAAAATTGCACAAACATTAAATTTCTGCCCTAAGGCCGAGTAGAAAACCGATAGCTCTTTATTTTAGAATTTTTTTTTGGTAAATGTCAAACTCCTGGGGAGGGAGGGAACACTTTTGCTGTACTTATTAGAATTGATAACTCAAGCTCCATATCCTCAGGCTGACAAATGACAGCCTGGTCTTTCACTCCACACACTAATTCTGGTTGCTTCATGCTGGTCACTGGCAGATGGGCTTGTTCTTAAATCACGTTAGTGGCTGATATGAAGTAAAGGATCATTAAATTATTAGCATTTACATTGTTTTCAGTAAACTGCAGAAGATTTTAAATGTTTCTGTCTGTGCTGGCTGAGATGGCAGCCAGTCTTAGCAGCCTGCATTGCCATATACACTCAAAATGGCCTCAAGGGTCAGGTTGGAAATCAGGAGGAATTTCTCCATGGAAAGGGTGAATTTCTCCATTGGATTTACCTAGGGAGATGTGGAGTCCCCATCCCTACAGGTGTCCAGGAAAGACCTGTATGTGCTACAGCTCAGTTGCTATGGTGGTTTTTGGTCAAAGGTTGGACACAGTGATCCTGGAGGTCTTTTCCAACCTCAGTGAGTCTGTGATTCCATGGAAATACCATTGTTTGAAATGTTTCTGAGGATGGGCTTGGCTGTGATGTGCCACTGTGGAACTGAAGTGCATTTCTTGCCTCAAGCTTATCTCCTTGAAAGGGATATTAATCTAAATGCTTTGGGTATTAAATCAATGAGGGGTCAAGGGAAGGTCCTCCGATTGAAATTGCATTTACCAACCCCTGTATTGGTTTCACCATTTAGTCCCTAGCCTGACATAAATTTGGCTGGCAGACAAATCGCAGCATGCAGATTCCTCCCGTTCCCGCTGCTTCCTTTGGTCCTCCTTGCTACAGAACACAGCAGGACAACCTCTGGGTGCACGTTCTGAGGAGGCTTTGCTGGTGTTCTCATTGATTTGGAGTTTGTTTTGCTGTCCCCAGGGCAGGGTGCAGCTGGAGCAGGGCTCTCTGACCATTGCCAACGTGAGCCTGTCGGACGCGGGGATGTACCAGTGCGTGGCGGAGAACAGGCACGGCGTCATCTTCGCCAGCG